AAACCCTATTACAAGTAGAGAAACTGATAGCGAACAGCATGGATCCTGATCAGACTGCGCAGATGCACAGGCTGGTCTGGATCCATGCTGGTTGCTGGTTCCTGGTTGCAAACCCATTATGTTGGTTTTGTTATGACGCGGCTCATTTAGATTTTATATTGTATCATACACATTTTTCTGTATCAATTATTGGTCAGTCACTATTAAAGTAGCCTTCAGCTTTTAGTTTTATGTGGGAAGACAATTCAGTTTTGTTTTAAACTAAGTGTTTCTATAATTTTATCTTGGTAAAGAGCATCATATCACTGTTAAAAAAATCTGGAACAAGTGACGAATGCCCCCAAAAAGGTTTTTTTTTAAGCAAGCAGGTATTATGAAAAGAAAGGAGAACGAAAGTAACTAATTGCTTAATTATTAATATTGTTCTTTGTATTATAGTACTTATAATCTCTTATTGTAATAGCGTGAACCTTCAAATTATAAGTGTGACCTCGACCTTTAAAGAATGGACATGGTTCTTGGACGCGACAGCATGTTGTCATGAGAGAGACATTTGTGCCAAGTTATTTTAAAATCCCTCAATGTGTGACAAAGTTACAGTCTGGACATGATTGTTGTTTAAGTGGGGACACACAGACGGACAGAATGACATGCATCTTCGCCGCGACACATCTTGTTGATGTGGTAGGCATTTGTGCCAATTTATTTTAAATGAACGTGTATCTTTAAACTCATCTTGAGAGAATGAGTACCTTCAAACTTTAAGTGTGACCTAGACCTTGAAGGTAGAAACATGGGTCTTACTCATGACATGTCATCTTAATGTGGTAGACATTTATGCCTAGATATTATAAAATCCTTTAATACAGTCCGCACATGAATGTGTGTACCTATAAAAATTCTAATTGTGATAAAGTGAAATTCAAAATGGTAGTGTGACCTTGACCTTTGAGATAGGAACGTGATTATTGAACTTGACACATCATCTTTATGTGGTTGACATTTATGCCAAGTTATTCTAAAATCCTTCTATGCATGACAAAGTTACAGCCCGGACACGATTGTGTGTACTGAGTAATTCTAATTGTGATAATGTGAAACTTCAAAATGTTAGTGTGATCTTGACCTTTGAGGTAGGGAGGTAATTCTTGGACGGGACACATCGTATTGATGTGGTTGACATTTATGCCTAGTTACTTTAAAATCATTTGATGCATGACAAAGTTACAGTTTGGACACGAATAAAGTGGGGATGCACAGACGGACAGACAGATGGACAGTGCAATTTTAATATGCCTCCCTTCAGGGGCATAAAAAGTGTGATCCCTTGGAAGCATTAATCACAGCAAAATTACATGAAAATTGCAGACTCGGTTTGATTGAGCTTGTACAAGAGGGATAATGAAAAAGTGTAACATCCCTCATGCCCAATAGCAACTACTTGAGTGGTACTCAACTTTAAAGTGCTGGAATCCATGATCCTAAAGGACCTGAAAAATGTAACAAAACTGAAGCCTTCTTCAAAAAACCATCCCAAGAGCTATATATAATGTGCCAGTTATGTACATTTCTAAAAACTTTGATTTGTTTGCCTACTTATTTACATATTGTGAGCGGACAGGTAAATTTTAATTTATCAAGGGGTTTCCTTATTGTTTAAGTACAGTGGAGCCTTGCTAATCCGAACCCTTCTAATCCGGAATCCTTTCTTATCTGAACGAAGTGTTCGGTCCCGATTTTATTCCTTCTATTTTCAATAGTAAAAAACCTTTCGGATCCGGAACATGTCTACTCCGAATTCCGGACGATTTTTTCAATTTTTGTTCTTATTTTACTCTAAAATTTACCTCTCGGATCCGAACAGATTTTGCCAAATGTCACACCTTCATTCAAAATAACAAATAATCGCACATCTTGCAGGTGTTAACATACACCAAACTGATAAGTGTTTTTTTGCTTGATTAATGGGTGAAACGTATGATCTGCGAAGGTGTGAAAATTACACTTAGCTTGCCTTGATATCTTCTATAATTGCTTAATTGATTGTTTTTCGTCAGCTTCTATAAATATTTTGATATAATGCAATAGAAATATCTTTTAATCCTTTGTATTGGATTCAATGATACGTGATTAAGTAATGAAAGTTAATGGAAACTGTCAGTGGATTCGGATAGTCGCTGAATAGGATAAGAGTAAACAACAATTGACAAATGCTGGTACGAATATCTAATCATGTCTCGGCCTCCTGTTTAACATCGTAGGTTAACTTACCCTTGAGGACAATATATTTTTCCTTCATTATTTATCTTTATTTCTTTATTTTTGTATTCACACGTATTAAAATGAACGATAAGAGACTGCAAAAATAGAATATCTAAATTGCAATTTCAAATGCATTCCCGTTTTCTTTCCTTGAATTATTTTGCAAATAACATGAAAAAAACATGTAAACAAACCCTCTAATTCGGAAACCTTTCTAATCCGGAAACCTTTCTAATCCGAACTTTTCTTCTGGTCCGGACGAGTTCGGATTAGACAGGTTCCACTGTATTATATTGATATCAAATTTCATTTTCCATCTTAATTCTTTTGATTTGACAATTACTGTATATGAAATGATTTATCTAAAATTAACATATTCTAACCTGTAAAAAAGCTGAAGGCAGCTTTAAAATAGCAATTATTTTGAAATAAACTACTTATTCAGCTCAATTGAAAACATTGTTCTCAGGTCAGCTAAAAATGTGTTGTTTTTCTGTTTAATTTTTTCTTCTTCTTTTTTGAAAGTGAATTTTATCAATGTAGGGAAAATATACATGTATCTATGACAGTTGCTCCATACATAATGGTCTTGATCTGGACTGACTGAGAAATCCGGACACCTTAGAATACGAGACAAAAGCTTTGGGCCAACTGCTGTCCAGTAAATTTTCTCGCATAATGCACTGAACACTGTAATACAATAGTTTATGGAAATTTTCATTATCTAATTTAAAACAATTTTTTGTCAACGTGATTTATTATTGTTACAAAGGCATTATCTTGCACCTGCCTGTCCATAACAGTGAATAATTAATAACCAATCGATAAATAACCACTGAAAACACAAGATAAGAATGGAGTTCCAATAATTTAAAATATGTCCTAGTTCAGGAGAGATGCGGTTAAATAGGTCAATCAATTAATATCTATTATGCTTGAAGATTTATGCAATCATTTAGTATGGATGCTATAAACATGTTTTAATGCTTAGCTACAAGAGATACAGCAACAGATTTGCATATGCAGTGCAGTCTATGCCTGAATGTAAATTTGTATAAAGAAACAAAAAATTAGTATATCAATGGAGGTAGAGGACCATTTACACTTCTTATCATGCTCATTAAAGAACAAATGATTTCAGAAACCTTAGAACTCATTACATCATACCAAATCACATTACTATCTCTCAACCCCATCACATAGACTTACAAAAAAGATTCATATGAGTTGGAAATACAGTTGTAGTATGTTTTATGAAACACCAAACTAATGGGTTAATTATTTATAATTTGGCATAAATATTTATGCATTTTTATGCAAGTTTAAGTTTTTACATAATATTGTGAGTGTTTTGTTCTGTTTCACAATTGCATCTACCTATATTGATTGACATGTGTTTAGTGTACTCATGATATTTTTTTTGACAGTTTTAAGACAGGAAGAATTTGGTCATGCATAAAAAATATTTTTCACCCTTTAAGCGTGTGCGAGGCGACTAAATTTCACCCATGTGACCTAAGTGTCGAAGATCAGCTAGCAACTGCGTACCGCCTGATTTTGGTCTGCACTGTTTATAACTCAGGCAGTACTATCAAGTATTTTGTTTGTTTATTTCTTTTTATGCCTTTTCCCAACAGTATTTCCGTCATGTAGGCCGGTATTTTCCTATCCATCGTTCCTGGACTATCAAGTATTATTTTTCAAAAACATGATGAAAGTTTCACCTGGATTGAAAGCGATTTTAGATATTAAACATAATAATGGTTTAATTGACCTATCAATATATTCGGAATTCTTTCTGTTGCAGTTATGATTGTATGACCATTCTTGATTACTGCTCTCAGGCCGACAAGTTTCTCTCATGAGAAAACAATAACTGTTTCACAATATTATATCATATTAAACATAATATATAATATACCTGTAGTTTTTGTCCTTGATGCAGCATAATTGTTAATATCTAATATTCTGTAAGTTGGCCACAACTTCTTACAGAAGCATCATTATTTTGTTTCTACTAATGTATTAGTTGGCCTTGACTTCATACACACTATCAGATACAATTATCATACAAAACATAGAAATAACAAAAAACATATTACACATACATTATCCCAAATCACCAATAACCAGTATATTGTATAACAATAGCCATCGTGTTTGTATTACTAAAATGGCACCTTATCTAGCTCCTGGCCCTATCCCTAATTACCCTCCATGGGAAATTCAAAACAAAATGAGCTGAATTTTACATTTTGTCAGTCGCACACTTACCTGCCAGGTCAATGTGGTGGTTTCCTTTTCGGCATTCAGATGTTAAAATAGCAGGAGATATGTCCAACTTGCAAGCAAACCTTATGTATGACTTCTCAAGCTGTAAACTGTGTGTATTGTACAGAATAATGTTGAATGAAATACTTAATCTGCATACAAAATATATTGAGCATAACTTCAAGCTGACGCCAGAATAAAACCCCTTCAAACTGCATTTGCTGGGGTTGTGAAATAGTATTTTTTCATTTCCGCAAGATTCTGTCAATGCTTATTTTGGTGATATTGGGATACCTTTGTCATTAACTGCTTTTAACTTTGATGTTACAAGAAAAGGGTCACACATGTCTAAATGTTCAATAATAGGAAAAGAGGCATGATTTGAACCTTTGGCGGCCAAGTGATTCAAAATGTCAACAACCATAACCACACAGCCACGGACACCCATGATTTAATACACCAGAGCTCAAAAGGTTATGTATCTTACCCAAGCTGTCATCAGACAAGTCGTCAAATGACGAGACACGTTGAAGGTTGTTCAATGTTGGAACTTTGTGGTCTTCAGTGCTCTCTTGGCGACGGAAAAACAGTGGAATCTCGCATGTCTGCACATCGTATGATACCTGCAAAAATTACAATAATCGTCATATACCTTGGTATAAGTGATAGCAGAAATAATTATTTAAATGACATTAAAGCAGAGCCAGGTCACTATGACCAGACTTTATATACATTTTGTTCACAATTCAGACTTTCATCCCTTTTTTTACACAGTTTACATATCTCATATCTTCACTGTTAGTCAGGCATCGAAAAATATTTTCAGAGTCACTCATCCTGGAGGACGAGTAGCTTCTTATTCTAATGTTCAGGCAACGTCTGCATCAAATTCTCTGAAATTCTACTCATAATTACTAATTTACTTAGTCTAGCAGATGGGTGAAATTTTTTATTTCTTAGGCTTACGGGCCTTTAACAATATGTTGGCAAAGTGACTGACCACTTATCCCACATGATTTCTGACCCAGGGATGAGAGACAAATGACCATTAGTCACAATGTCTGAGAATTCAGACAGCCGAATTAATAAAGTGTTTTAAATCATTTATTTACATTTAAAACATCATTTCTGGAGCAAAATGTGGCACAGCAATTCTAAACAATGATTATTTTACTGCATTTGTTAAGTTTACTTTTTTTCTCCCACCCTACGGTAAGTAATTCATGTCTTAAATCATTTACTTGAAATATTTACTTCTTTGTACATGTATATAATAATCAGAGATCGAATATTCCACTCGTCCACTCTTAGTTACAAGTAGAATTTAAGGAAATTTGATGCAGGACGAGTAGGTACATTGGATATAGAAGCTACTCGTCCTGGTACATTGGATTTAGAAGCTACTCGTCCTGCAGGACGAGTGACTCTGAAAATACTTTTTGAAGCCGATTAAAATTTGACTTGAGGAGATTTTGCCAATCCTAGTTCTAATAACTTGACTTATTGCAATAAGAATTTTTGTTCGTTACAAGCTTTACATCTATGAACTATTTCAAAAAGTCTTCTGTTTTTTTCTTATCTTGATTTGTTTCCCTCAAAGCATGCTTCCTGTAAGTAATATCAAAGTGCATGGTCACAGGGGGAGCCGAAATTCACTTTACCTTTAATGAAATGCAAATGCTTCAGTTTTGAACACTGATCAAAGACCCACAACATTTTTTCGACTGAATTCACTGCATGAAACATTTCATTAAACAAAGCCTCAAATTTGTCATATTTTCTTTGCCATAACTTCATGTCAATTTACTGCAGAAAATATTCCAACACAAAAGACTTCAAAAATAGAAATATCAAGTATGCCCTTTCTGCTTCATTAAGATTGATAGAATAGATGAATAGATTGATTTTCCATTAACCCATAATATAGGACATATCCTGGCATTTTACAAGGTGTTACATTCTCTACTAGCTGCAGTTTAGAACCATTTCTTCCAATATATAAAACACTTAAGATACACGTAACTTGAATATAGCATATTAGAAATAGAAGGGTTTTTGTCACAAAAACATATGTCTCCCAAAATTATGGATGGTCACTCATTTGAAGATTCATTGAAATCCAACCAGTAGCTTGACCTATGAAAGCTGGTCAAGATTTTTCTTTTTTTTAGCTCTGACGGCCATTTTGTGCAGCAAAGCGGAACATGCCAGTATGATGCACGACTAGTGATGGTACTGATCACTCCTGTAAAGTTTGGTTGAAATCCAACCAGTAGTTCAAATGACCTATGAAGGCTGGACAAGATTTTACTATTTTTAGCTCTGGCCACCATTTTGTGAAGCAAAGTGGGACATGCCCGTATTTTGCACAAATAGACTAGTGATGGTACTGATCACTCCTGGAAAGTTTGGTTGAAATCCCACCAGTAGTTTGACCTGTGAAGGCCAGACAAGATATTTTAATTCTTAGCTCTGGTGGCCATTTTGTGCTGCAAAGCAGAACTTGCCTGTATTGAGCACAACTAGTGATTGAACTGATCACTCCTGTAAAGTTTGGTTAAAATCCCACCAGTAGTTTGACCTGTGAAGGGCGGACAAGATTTTTCTATTTTTAGCTCTGTAGGCCATTTTGTGTAGAGATTTGCGGAACATGCTGGTATTGTGCACAACTAGGAATGGACCTGTGAAGGGCGGACAAGCTTAATGCGGAAGGAGGGACAACGGACGGATGGCGAAGGCAAAAACAATATGTCTCAAAAAAAATTTTGGGAGACATATTTATTATGAGCCTCAGAATATGAGTGAAATTTTTAATGAATTCTGTATCTATATACTTACATTGATACAAAGCCTACACAAAATTAAGCATTGCCAAGCTCTATAATTTTACATTTAAGGACATGTTTTTGAGACATGACAATAAAGATACACTGTTATGTCACTGTCATTACCCTGATCGTGTCCATTATTATAATTTTATGTCATTTGGTCATTTATGTAAAGCATGTTACTGTATTGTAAGAATTACAATCTCTAGCTGCAAAGCTTTGTGCTCAAACATATCAGTTCCTTAAGTTTATGATGACCTTAACGCCAAGAGCTAAAAACTGTTAAAGATGGTAGCAGTAAATGCACCCCATAGCAAAGGTTTAGGCAGAGCTCAACATATAAGCTATGAAAGCGTTCCATCTGAAGGGATATTGAGAACACAAAATTAGGTCCGATGTGAACAAACATTATGTACACATAAATATTATGAACATAAGTGCCACCCCCGTAACTGCTAATAGCACATGGGGGATAAAAATAGCAAAAAACATAAAGAAGGAAACAGTGTCTGTGAGAAAAGTTAGCGACCAAAACAATTAGTAATTCTCCGCATGAAGGAGGTACCTCTGTTCATACATACATAATGTCTACAGGATTTTTTTGTACTTATATCTCAAGGACTGTTAGGATCAGTTATAAGGGCTTATATTCAAGTGGCCTACTTGCCAATCAGTTTTAATTAAGACCCTGTATGGATTAAAGCAATGGCATTGAGTCTGAACTCAAGTCTCTGAAAATACATTAAAAAAAATCGCCACTTGTCTTGATGTATATTAGAGTAAAATATAAATTTATCTTTATAACAAATATAGCAATGGTGTAAGTGTTATAAAGAACAAAAAGCCTAAGTATTAACCAAAACCTAAAATGTTTAACCTTTGGCATCAGAACTGGATCTCTCACCAGAGTCTATTCTTTTGGATACTCAATCTAAAATTACTTTCTTTTATCATATTATTAAAATCCCTGAATTTTCATAATTATGGACTATTATGAATTCAAATCAGGACATAATTATGCATTACATAAAATCAACAGATTAAGGACCACATCCCAGCAGCTACTTATAGATTAGTATCACGTTGTAATTATTATATGACAGATTGAAATGCTAACATTTTGGCTATGACTAAAAAAACTTGGAACAATAACAAAATAACAAAAATATTGATTGTCAGTGGCATAGCTTCCTATAGGTTGTGTTACTAGGCCACTACACCCCCCCCCCCCCATAATGCAAGAAAGTAAAAACAAAAATTTATTTCCATGACACCCTGGCCTAAATACAATAATACTACACTGACAATTCTGAGCAAAAAAAAAATAAATATGGTGCAAGCTGCCAACCCCCCCCCCCCCCAAAAAAAAAAAAACAAAAACAAGAAACATGGCAATGCCATGAAACCAGGTTTTCAATTATCACCATTGTAGATAAATATGTTGTATTTGAAATACAAATACAAGCAACAAACAATGTAACTATGTGCAATGTAAAACATGAATAATGTAGGAGGAATTGCCACTGAAGAAGTGTTCACTATAATATTATGTATAAGGAAAAAAACAAAGGGCCATAATTAGGTCAAAAACTATCCAATCACAAAACCCCGACAATATGTGCCAGGGTGCTTGATGACAAAGCTTCTGTGAAAGTTTGAACAAAATCCGTTGAGAAATGTAGGACGAGTTCAGCACAGAAGAATTTGTTCACTATAATTATATTGATAATTCTGTATAATGAAAAACAAGTTACAAAGTAGACATGAAATAATATATCATATCTTTTTTAAATTACCTCCAAAGATGATATGACCTTTGACTGCCAAATCAAGTTAAAATCATGTAAACAGGATTTTCAATGTTAATGTCACTGTGACCTTGACCTTGGAGCCAGCCATGCGGAACATGCGTTCTGCACGTCATCTTGATGTGGTAAACATTTGTCTGAAGTTTCATCAAAATTCTTCAAAGGGTTGAAGAGTTACAGAGCGGACAGGATTTTCAATGTTAATGTCACTGTGACCCTTGACCTTGGAGCCAGCCATGCGGAACATGTGTTCTGCATGTCATCTTGATGTGGTAAACATTTGTCTGAAGTTTCATCAAAATTCTTCAAAGGGTTGAAGAGTTACAGAGCGGACACAATTTCGTTTGACGCCCGCCCGCCCATCCGCCCGCCATACCCCAATCTAATAACCAGGATTTTCAAAATTGAAAACCTGGTTAATAAAGTAGGCCTGAAGTAGGCCTTCTCAAAATTTAGTCCAAGCAACACATGTCCCATATTAGAGGGGAATACAGAATTCCTGCTATCATACTGTTTGTTGACTGACAAAACAATGAAATGTTGGGCATCAGTGTCCTATGGACACACTTCTAGTTGGTTGTTTTGTTTTATCTAGTTTTTTTTATCAGTCTGTTATCAAAGTATAACAAAATTAAAAAAGGTTACCTGAGATCTAAATAACTTCATTCTAGTAAAATAATTCCATACCGGTATCATTAAAATGTGTCAATTTTGTTACTTTTCTGTTAAAAATGTCCTTCCAACTAACAATTATTTCATTTGCATTTTCATCGAGGCCAAAATAAGACTTCATTTTAACTGTTAGTTTTTAAGTTGCACCGTTTTTAAGTTGCAACTATTTTTGGTCAAGTTTGTTACAAGTCAAAAGTTATCAATATCAGTTTTAAAAATCATAAACAACATAGTTACTGGTTTGAGAGAATTACTTGTTGTTGCTTTGTTAGATTGCACAGTGACGTTATCTCATTTAGGTTCGCAAAATGAATA